CCATCAACAGAAGAATGGATAACCAAACTATGGTACATACACACGATGCAATACTATACAACTCTAAAGAATATTGTAGAATCTGCAAAACATCAAAAAACATGGATGAACTTGGAAGACATTCTGCTGAGTGAAATGAGTCAAACACAGAAGGATAAAAATAGTATTAGTTCCTTACTGTAAACAGTCAAGGAAAGGTTTATATATGGAAGGAAACTTTCTTTGTTGGTTACTTGGGGTGGGAATACAGGAAAAAAATGTATTGACACATGTCACTTTAGTTTTGTGTATTTCATTATATATAAATTATATTTCAATAAAATGTATCTTTTTTTTTAAAATTACAGCCTCAGAAAACATGGGTCAGTTCTCTTCTGTCTATAGGATTGTTATGAGTAGGAATTGACTCAACAGCAGTGTTTTTTTTTGGTTCAGTATCTTCTCTCTATCCATATAACTAAATTATTTAAAAATTTGACAAATTCTCCATAATCTTCTAAATTTTCCAGTTATATAATATAATTACATTAACTACAAATATAGTGTTTCTTTTGTAATAACATGTTTGCTGTTGGGTTTTAATATATGGCCTTTATATCTTTCTACTTTTATTTTACTTTGAATTTTTTTTAGGAAATGGGTTGTGGATTTTTATTATTTTCATTGTTGATGTAAATATATAGGGAAAACATAGATGCCAATTCAGTATTTTTCATATGTACAATTCAATGAAACAAATCACATCAATCATTTGATTTCAGTTTATAAGGTTTGCTCAGCTATATAAAGAATAGAAGGGCAAGAGTGAAAGTTAAACCAGTCAGGATGTTATAATCATCCAAATATGATGCAGCTTCTACTATAAAACTATAGTAGAAGCAGTGGAGATAGGGACAAGTGTTGGATGTGGGTTATATTGTCATAGTCTACCAGGATTTAGGATGAAGCAGATATGATGTGTTAGAAAAAGAGAGGTATCAATGATGACTATATAATATTGGACTAGAGCAGGTGCATAAATGGAGTTGCATGATAAGGAGCTGTAATTTTCGAGCCAGTACAGCAAAATTTCTGCTCTGAATATAACGTTTGAGCTGTCTACTGAATACACAAGTAAAGATGCTGAGTAAGCAATTGGATATTTGAGTTTAGATCTCAAGAGCAAAGTTGGGGATGGAATTAAAATTTGATACTCACCCATGTCTGTTGTTGTTATTGTATGCCTTTGAGTTGATTCTGACTCCTAGCAACCCTGTATGACTGAATGTAACTGCCTATTCAGTTTCCTAGTCTGTAATTTTTGTGGGAGCAGATGGCAAGGTCTTTCCTTCATATAGCAATTGAGGGATTCAAACTGCCCATCTTTCAGTTAGCAGCCAAGTGCTTAATCATTGTGCCATCAGGGCTCTTTCACCTACATCTAGATGGTATTAAGGTCAAGGGACTAGAAACAAACACCTAGGAATTGAATATATATAATCTATATGAAATCTGAGAACTGAACTCTGGGATCTTCGAAGACTTAGATGTCAAGAAAATGAAAAAGAGTCAGCCAAGAGACTTAAAGTGTGGGAGTGCCCACAAGAGCAAGTTATGTGGAAGCCAAGTAACGAGAGTGTCACAACATGGAAATAGTCAGCTGTGTGAAGTGCTACCGATTAAGATGAGGACTGAAAATTGATTGTTGTTTTTTGTTTTTAAGTTTTATTTTAGTAAAATACATGTAACAGAAGTTTTCCCATTTTAACCATTTTTAAATGTACATTTCAGTGGCATTAATTACATTCACAATGCCACGCAGCCATCACCACTCTCTATTTCCAAATCTTTTCAATCACCTCAAACAGACTTTTGTACATTTTTGTTATTTAATCGATAAATCTCCAATCCCTCCCCTCCCCCAACTCCTTGGTATTCTCTAATCTACTTTCTATCTCTATAAATTTGCCTATTCTAAACATTTCATATAAATGAAATCATGTGATATTTGTCTTTTAGTGCCTGCCTTCTTTCACTTAGCATATTTTCAGGGTTCATCCATGTTGTAACATGTATCAGAATTTCTTTTCTCTTTATGGTTGAATATTATTCCATTGTGTGTGTAAACCACATTTTGTTTATGCATTCGTCTGTTGAGAGATGTGTGGATTACTTTCACTTTTTCACTGCTGTGAATAATGCTGCTGTGAACACTGGTGTACAAGTATCTGAGTCCTTGTTTTCAAGTGTTACTGCTATATTCCTAGGTGTGAAATTGCTGAGTCATAGTAATTCAATGTTTACATTTTTGAGGAACTACCAAACTATTTCCACAGAGGCTGGGCCATTTTACATTCCAACCAGCAATGTAGAAGCATTCCAGTTGCTCCACATCCTTGCTAACACTTGTTATTTTCTGGTTTGTTTTTTTCTGTATCTATCCTAGTAGGTATGAAATGGTATCTCCTTGTAGCAACTATTGTTTTGGGATGTGGAAAACTTTAGTGACCTTGCCAAGAATAATTTTGTTGGAGTACAAGAAGAAAGCCGATTTGAAATTGGTTCAGAGAAGAACAGGAGGAAAACAAATGGAGGTGTACATTCTCTATGGGATGAAGCCTGCAGAAGAGAGAAAGGATGATTTCAGAGCAAAGTCCATTAGTAGCTGAGAAGGAATAGGATTAATGCTAAAATAGAAGAGTTGGCCTTAGAGAGGTACAGAGACAGATCATACATACATTGTAATAGAAGAAAGTCAGGGTATAAGACTACCCATTTTGTAGATTGCCTATAAAGAAAAATTTCTGCCTTACCTTCCTTGCTGAGGTTCAGTGTCTCTTAGTAGCTTGATGGAAGTTCCATGTTCCTGCCATTGCCAACAGTGCCAGCTGTGAAAATACTGCTTCTTTGCATAGGGATCTGTTTTCACAATGCCCAGAGCTACAAACATTCTCAAGATGCCAAATTCCACTGTGTTCCCATTATTTGTTACAAAATGAGCACCAGGTTATGTTCTCTGCAGATGTGGGAACTCTGCGTTTCACTAACCAGGCTGCTAGACGTCTCTTCTTATTGTTAGCTGATGTTGAGTCTATTCTGACTCATAGTGACCTCATGTGTGCAGGGTCGATAGAACTGCTCCATAGGGTTTTCAAGCCTGTGACCTTTCAAAGCAAATCATTAGGTCTGTCTTCTGAGGCCAAGGGACTTAAAGACCTGTAACCAAAAAACAAATCAAGCTCACTGCTGTTGTTGTTGTTGTTTGTCGTCGAGTCGGCCCCGACTCATAGCGATCCCTCCTTGGGTTTCCGAGGCAGTATCACTACAGAAGTAGGATTGCCCAACCTTCCTTCTGAGGAGTGGCTGGTGGGTTTGAACCGCCAGCCTTCTGGTAAGCAGTCAAGTGCCTTAGGCACTATGCTACCAGAGCTCCTTGAATGGGATCAAATTCATAGTGTCCCCTTTTTGGGTTTCCAAGGCAGTATCACTACAGAAGTAGGTTGCCCAGTCTTATGGATGGGTTCAAACCAACTTTTCAGCCAGTAGTTGAGTGCATAACTGTTTGAACCACCCAGGGATCTTTCTCTTTTTCTAAGCCTCAGAAAATTCAGTTTCTTCTTCTGATTCTATCCCTCAAAACTCTGTCAGGTTGAATGAGAGATAAATACTAAGCCATTCTCTTCAGTCTGCCTTCTTATTCCCATCCACTATGATCTGAGCCCATGAATTCTGGTAGCATAGTGCCTAAAGCACTTGACTGCTAACCAGAAGGCTGGCGGTTCAAACCCCCCAGTCACTCCTTGGAAGGAAGATTGGGCAATCTACTTCAGTAGAGATATCGCCTAGGAAACCCAAGGAGGGGTCAGTAGGAGTTGGAAATAACTCACCAGCAGTGAGTTTGTTTTTTGTTTTTTTTTAGCTTGGTACAGAATGGGTAGTTGAAATCTTTCTAGCCTTCCCATCACCAGGACTTTCTCTGATTCACCCAAAAGTGCCTGGTAAACTAGATAAGATCCTTCAGCCATTCCTCATGAGACAGATTTTCTACTAATCTCACTGGCAAGCTTTTTTTCCCCCCTCTAAGACATTATAATTCATCAAAATAGAAATTTTAGAAAAAAATACAAATGTAGTCTGACTAGCACAGGGTGTAGACTAGATCTTCCCTTAGTTTAAAAAAAAAAAAAAAAGAAAAGTGCCATCAAGTTGGTGTCAACTCATGATGACCCCACATGCGTCAGAGTGTAACTGTGCTTCGTAGGCTTTTCAAGGGCTAATTTTTCAGAAGCAGGTCCTCAGCCCTTTGTTCCAAGGCACTTCCAGCTGAATGCAAACTTCCAATCTTTTGGTTACTAGCCAAGTATATTCACTGTTTGCAGTGTCCTTAGATCTTTGTAGGTAAAATGTTTAAAAAGTTCTATAAAGTCAGAGTTATAAGAACACTGGTTGCTGTGGCTTTCCCTCAGCCAGTAGACTTTCCAAATAATAGTCCATGGACCGATTTTGAGAGATCTGTGAACTCACTGAAATAATATACAAGATTTGCGAGCGTCACAGTTTTTTTGATGTGATTAGAGAGAGATTTCATACCTTTTATCAAATTCTTAAAAAAGTAAAACCCAAAAGAATATTTAACAACTACTATAAACTATGTTTCAATCAATGTAGTCTGTAGCATTAGGATTTAAGGGGCAGTCTTGTCATAATACTGGCTAATAGTATTTACTCTATCAAAAGCCATTTGTCTTTTCCTTCATGTTGCTGCAAAACTTCATAACCTTCTGCTGAACAGTGGTATAATTTTCCACTTCCCACCAATCCAATGAATGCTAGTATAATTAATTTTCTAATCTAAGTTTGATACCAATGTTTTTTCTTATTAAATTGCATTTTATTAAATTGATACAAGAATCTATTATGCCATAAGTTTTAAAGGCTGAGAAAAATATACTCTGCTGGAAGATTTCTTTGATATGTATTTACATGAACTTCTTGATTTTTTTGTTTTTTCCTCTTTGTAGGTCGAAAGTTCAAAAAGTTCAATAAAGTCAGAGTTATGAGAGCACTAGATGCTGTTGCCCTCCCACAACCAGTGGGCATTTCAAATGAAAGCCAAGCTCTAAGCCAGAGAATCACTTTTTCACCAAGTCAAGAAATACAGTTGATCCCCCCATTGATCAACCTGTTACTGAACATTGAACCAGATGTGATCTATGCAGGACATGACAACTCAAAACCTGATACCTCCAGTTCTTTGCTGACAAGTCTTAATCAACTAGGAGAGAGGCAACTTCTTTCAGTAGTCAAGTGGTCTAAATCACTGCCAGGTAATAATATAAATATATAATAGTATGTAATAAAAAATTTATTACGTTTGTTGTACTAACAGATTGGTAATTAAAACAGTATATGCAGTATACTTTGGTCATGTTCTCAGAAGGGACCATTCTCTGCACAAGGATATAATGCTTGGTAAAGTGGAGGGTCAGTGAAAAAGGGGAAGGCCTTCAACGAGATGGATTGATACAGTGGCTGCAACCATGGGCTCAGGTAAAGCAAGGATTATGAGGCTGGCACAGGACCAGACAGTGTTTTGTTCTGTTGTACATAGGTTCAGTATAAGTCAGAGCTGACTAGATGGCATCTAACAACAGCACAAGAACAATACAGTAAATCAATTAGAGTACAGACATCCTAGGGAGCTCCGGTAGTGTAGTGCCTAAGGCATTTGACTGCTAACCAGAAGGCTGGTGGTTCAAACCCACTGACTACTCCACAGAAGGAAGATTGAGCAATCTACTTCTGTTGTGATACTGCATCAGAAACCCAAGGAGGTGTCACTATGAGGCGGATCTGATGTGACAGCAGTGAGTTTGTTTGATTTGTTATAGACATCCTATTATGGTATTGGTTTCAGGTATTAAAGATGTTCCTGTAACATTTAATATTTGTCTGTGCTATGGACATACAAAAGAACTAGAGAACACATTGAGGCTTGCGATAAATCAGCACTACATACATGAAATAGTTAAGGAATAGTATAAGTTTATGTGTTCAACTACAAGTGTCATAAAATTTCAGAGAAAGGCAATCTAGTTGATTCTAAACCTGAACTTAACCCACCTCAATTGGATGAAAATAAAATCAAATACAACTAACTGTTTAACAACCAAAATTATATTCAGAGTACAGTGGGGCATGTCATAAGTCAATTAAACTACAACATTCCTACACAAAAAGAAATAATTTGGACATAGAGAAATGAGCCTCTTGTCACTACTCCCTCTAAATATTTATACCCAAAGAGGGTAGATCCCAGCAATGGGGATTTAGATTATCTTATCATGAAAAGATTTTAGTCACTTTGTTTATAAGCTACGGTTGTTCCTTCAGCAGCACTCCATAGGAGCAAAATTGTTGGAAGAATTACAGAAATGCAGTGCTCACATAGCTAATTCTTAGAGTGCAGAGCCAGGAGAATACACGTGTAGCAATTACTTGTGGCTTTTAACACCATAATGGCAGCTCTGATGGTGTAGTGGTTAAGGCATTTGACTGCTAACCAAAAGGTCCGTGGTTCAAACCCACCAGCTGCTCCATAGAAGAAACATGAGGCAGTCTGCTTCTGTAAAAATTTACAGACTTGGAAACCCAATAGGGGTTGCTATGAATGAGAACTGGGAGCTCTGGTAGCGTAGTGCCTAAGGCACTTGACTGCTAACCAGAAGACTAGAGGTTCAAACCCATCAGCCACTCCTTGGAAGGAAGATGGGGCAATCTATTTCCATAGTGATACTGCCTTGGAAATTCAAGGAGGGGTCGCTATGAGTCGGGTCCAACTCAATGGCACATAACAACAACAACAACATGAATGAGAACTGACTTGATGGCAGTGAGTTTGATTTTTTCAATTAATACCAAATTAGAAAGAGAATATGTTTTAATTCCTTTCTTTTTCACATCAATAATATTTTTATAATCATTTAGAGCAATTTATGTTTTCAATATCTGATCAAGAATTAAGCATATTATATCTTTTTAGACCCAACTAGATTCAATAGTCTTTCTAAAAAAAAAAGAGAATGTCTTCTCAGTGTACCTAATATATTTCTTGATTGTTATTCTTCCTGAGAAGTTTGAAATAGAATAGATGAGTTGTTGAAATTTAAGATTACATGAAACAGACAAAAATATACTCTCTTGTTTGTTGAATCTTTTAAAAATATCTGTTGAGCAAAGTTAATACAAATAAATATTCTAATGGAGGTAACTCCTAGGAAGGAAGGTTGGGCAATCCTACTTCCGTAGTGATACTGCCTCGGAAACCCAAGGAGGGGTCGCTATGAGTCGGGGCCGACTCGATGGCACATAACAAACAACAACAACAACAATGTAGGTAAAGACATTTAATAGAAAAATCAAAATGCCTACTTTCTCATTGGCTTTACTATTTTAAAAAACCTTGGACAGGTGATATATATATGCATATGTATAATATGCATATATATATGTACGCTTTTTTTTTCCATGAGAAAAGTGTCAACGTTTAAAACTCATTGTAAAGTGTTTCTCAAACTTGGTAGAGCTTATTAAGTAAAAATATTACTACTAAAAAAACCTCACTGCCATCAAGTCATTTCTGACTCATAGCGACCCCCCTGGGTTTCTGAGGCTGTAATCTTTATAGAAGTAAGTCACCCCATCTTCCTTCCATGGACTAGTTGGTGGGTTTGAACTGCTGACCTGGTTAACAGTCAAATGCCGTATCCATGACACCACCAGAGTTTTACATTTGTATTACTGTAGTTCATATTTTTTAAAATTTGCATTTGGAGTTTGTTTGCTGTTGCAAAAAGATTCGTACATCAGCTACAATGTTAGAATATGAGCTTTTTAAATTGAAGCACAAGTTTTTGGCACGACTTTTACCTTCACACACTCTCAGTAAAAACAAGAGGACATTTTCACATCAAATTTAGTGTCAAGGCTTTTTTAATGTGGCAAAATGTAATTCATGTGTTAACAAACTAGAATGATGATTTCACCAGCATTGTACATACTGCTCCCATTAGCTGTATAGCAAGTGAAGCCTTGAGGTTTATGTAAATGTCATGTGGTCTGTGGTTTTATAAATAATATTTTGTATCATCTGTATTCTGGGAGTAAAATGATCAATGGACCAGAGTGACTATACTGACTTCTAATAGAACTTGGAGGGACACCTGTATATATAATGATTGATTTAGTGTCATTAGCTACTCAGAGCTTTTAGTTTGGCTTTACACCAGAGTCCAGTTATTAATTATTGATAATGAATACTTGCACAGTAGGTGCAAAACTTTACAATTAAGCAGTGATGTTGGAAAGAGAAGCCAGAAGACTGGACTCAGTGTGTGAATTTCAGTGTAGCACATCCTAGCATCTGGCCATCAGTTTTGAATGAAAGAGAAATTCATTTTAGCCATTCATTCACATTATTGTCCTATGGAAGATGGGCTCTTTCAAAACAAGTTCACAAGAGTCTTACCGATAAGCCAGCATGTCCGTTTACTCATTTACAGTGCAAATACATATATAACTACTAGGAAACGTTCTGGCAGATCAGAACATTTTTTACAGTAGGAAAGTGTATTTGGAAATCCAAATTAAGATCAGATGCAGAATGATCATCATAACAATGGCGACATATGTATGAGAATCACTAGGCATATGTCTGCAGATGCGCCTGAGGATTCTTATTGCCTGACCAGGGCCTCCTCATTTTGTCTTTGTCCACAGTCTTCCATTTCTTGCACCACTATAATTAGTTGTAGCTTATCTTACTTACTCCAATAATGTGGTGAAAACTGTGAGAGCCAGAACTCAGTGGACTGCCTTGTTTTTCCAAGTCTCTCAACTTTTCTGCCTTTGACAGGGTGGTAGCAATTTTCTAGGAGCTCTGGTAGTGTAGTGATTAAAGCATTATTAGGTTCTGGTATTGTAGTGATTAAGGCATTTGGCTGCTAACCAAAAGGTTGGTGTTTTGAACCCACTAACCTCTCTGGGGAAGAAAGATGAGGCAGTCTACTTCCGTAAAGATTTACAGCATTGAGAAACCAATGAGGGTCGCTATGAGTCAGAATTGACTAGATGGCAGTGAGTTTTTTGAGTTTGAGAACCAAAAGTCTGGTGGTTTTAATTCACCAGCCATTCTGTGGGGGAAAGATGAGACAGTCTGCTTCCATAAAGATTAACAGCCTTGTAAACTCTATGGAGCTGTTCTACTCTCCTATAGGATTGCTATGAATCAGAATCGACTCTATGACAGTGGGTTTTTTTTTTTTTAAACCTTTTTTTTTTTTTAATTATTCTCTATTAAAAATACCATCTCATAACCACCCAATGAATTTTCCTTCTCCGACAGATTTCTACATTACATAAGTTACAGCTTTCTCAGATTTTGCTGTATTTCAGAGATATCCTATTTCTATTTAATGGATACTTGCAGTTTGTTCTAGTCTTATGACAGCATATTTACAAACCATCTCTTAGGATATATTACATCAATATATAAATGATTTTTACATTGACTTTTAGCTGTAGTTTTAGTGGATAATATTTTCTTATTTGGAAATTGGAGCAAAATAGTATTTACAGAATTTTGAAAAATGAACAAGACAACTACCCTCTGGTAAGGAATGTTCAATCCAATGAGAGGTAAGATGCCCAGCAGCTACGGTGTTATGTGAAACTGATGTAAGATAGAAATATAAAGAAAGTGGAGAGGATAGTACATTTGGCTTTAAGGACTAGAGGTGTCTTAAGAGATAAGGTGCCCATTAAACTACACTTTGAAGGAGAAATGAAGTTTTGATAAATCATGATAAGAAGAAAAATAATTCTAAGTAGAAGGAATATCGTGGCTAAAGATGTGGAAGTATAGAAAAGCATGTGCTATGTTCAGCAAATACTGAATTAACAAAACCAAAAACAAACTCACTGCCGTCAAATTGACTCCGCCTTGCAGCAACCCCTCCTTGGCTTGCCGAGGCAGTATCACTACGGAAGTAGATTGCCCCATCTTCCTTCTGAGGAGTGGCTGGTGGGTTTGAACCACCAGCCTTCTGGTTAACAGTCAAGCACTTAGGCACTACGCCACCAAAACTCCCAAATATTGAATTAGACCAGTATGAAACAATGCTTCCCAATCTCTTCAAGTGTGAGGGCCCCTTAGTAACATCAAACAGCTTATCACATCTTCCAACATGACAGTGATTAAAACTTTTATTAACTGATATTTGAAAAATGTATTTGTACAGATGATTTTTCAGACTGAAATAAGTAGTTGGTCCCTTAGGACTTCATGACTGAATATTGAAAAACTACTGACAATAAATTATATGAAGGAAAGTAATAGAAAGTAAATTTAGTAACTTAAGTTAAACTTAAGTAAATTTAGAAACTTAAAATTCAGGTTAGGGTTTAGAAATTGGATTAACAAGCACTCACTCCTCATTCAAAACTACTTTTAAATATTTTTCATGCTATGTATCAATACATTATAGAATAATTGCTATGACAGAGAGGTTTGGGGAAAATTTTTTTTTTTTTAATTTTGTCTTGATATTTCTATTTACTTGGTTAAAAATCTACTCAAGTCTAAGCTTTGACATTCTTCAACCTTTTTAAATACATACCTCACTTCTTGGTTTCATTTAGTCAAAATACTTGAATTCACCTGTATAAGACTGGCACAGTACTTTGCCTCATTTTCTGGCTTTGAAGCATGCCAAAATATCCTTTGACTCATTGATATCCATTGCATCTCTGATTTAAAAAATTTCTTTTTTCCCAAATCAAATGAGTAAATCAAATTATTGCTCCAAAAAGAAATGAAAGTAGCCAATTAGGAGTAAACTTAAAACCAAAAAAACAAAGTAGTTGTCATTGAGTCAGTTCTGACTCATGGCAACTTCGTGTATTGCAGAGTAGAACTATGCTCCATAGATTTTTTTTTTTATCGCTATGGACTTTTGGAAGTAGATCTTCCTTTCTTCCAAGGTGACTTCAGATGGGTTTGAAGTGCCAACTTTTCAGTTAGTAGTCCAGCGTGGAACCATTTGCGACACCCAAGGACTCCAGAGTAAAATTAAAACCAAAATCAAACTCATTGCTGTTGAGTTAATTCCAACTCAAAATGACCTTGTAGGATAGAGTAGAACTGCCCTGTAGGGTTTCCCAGGCTGTAAATATTTACACAAGCAAATTGCCATATCTTTCTTCTTAGGAACTGCTAGGGGGTTCAAACAGCCAACCTTTTAATTAGCAGCTAGTGCTTTAACCAATGTGCCATAGGGTTCCTTGAAATAAAGTAAAGCCTTGGTAAATCCATTTATGGAGACTTTAAAAAAAATGATTTTTCTAGTACTCTGTTCCACTAAAATTACTATTGTGAATGTCACCTAAATTTTTCACTTGTCAAATCAAATGAATACTTTCAGCACTTAACATGTTTCACATTCCTTTGGGGTCCTTGACAAAGTAATCACTTCATGCTAAAACCCTTCCTATGGCATTCATCACTTCTTTTACAGTTTGCTCCAGGTACATATGTTTCTCTCAATTTATACATTTTCTGTCTCCCCGTGGATTTTTTCTTCCATCCACACCATAAATTTGTCATTTCCTAGATTCCATCTACTCCAGTAGTTTCTTAAGGAGGTCTGGTGGCATGGTGCCTAAGGCATTTGACTGCTAACCTGAAGGTTGGAGGTTCTTAGTCTACACATTCTTGGCAAGCTCTCTCATAGCTTTGTCTTCTGATGACTCCTAAACACACAGTACCAGCCCAGACCATCTATTGAGCTATCCAGACCATATATTTCAACTCTTTATTACACATTTCCAGGAGTGAACTTCCAACTCAACATGGCCCTCTACTCTATAAACCTAAAGCACTCAGTTTTCTGTTTTTTTTTTTTTTTTTTTTCTTGTATCTTGAATGGCATGCCAGCTAGTATCATTTTAGGTGAGCTTTCTCTTTCACTCCCCCATAGCCAGTTAGTTGTCAAATTATGTCAGTTCTGCTTATTATAAAAATGTATTATACATGCTACTTCCATTGTTAACTGCCTTATCTTAAGTTAGGTTCTCATCATTTTTTTTTTACCTACATTTCTTTAGTAGCCCCTGACTGACCCTATTATCACCAGTTTCATCCTGCTCCCGAATATCTACTTTGAAAGCAATCATAGTCAATTATGTAGTTTCCTTTCTGTATCAGAATAAAGTCCAAATTCCTTAGCCTTTACATCCAAGAGCTTTCTGAGATCTGTCTAGCTCCTTAATTTGCAACTCTATCTCTCACCATTTCTCATTAAGCAATTTTAAGTTCCAATTTCCAAAATGTTCCTTGCTCAATTTCCTGCCTCCTTCTTTGGCATATAATGTTTTTCTTACCTTGAGGCCCTTCTCTTCTCCCACATCTTCCCCTTGGTGGCCTCTAACTAGTCTCCAGAATTCTTTTCATCTGTCACTTCCCTGGGAAGATTTCCCTGAGCCATCCCTGACTGAATTAGGGCCCTTTAGTCTCTAATATCACTCTAGCACTTGTCAATCATAGCACTTATTACTCTGTTATAATTATATTCTACTTTTCTGTCTGTCTCACCAGACTATAAGTGCTAAAGCCCTAAGCTGCATCTTTGTAATCTGTATGCCTAATGCACATTCCAAATGGATGCTTAAAGAATATTTATAGAAACTTAAATAGATCATTAACATCAGTCCCTTATTTGTAATGTTATCAAATACATATTGATGATTACACTTATTACATTGGAGCTTCTTTGTGTTTCTTAAAGTTCATGCTTTTGTCAGAAAATGCTGAGACAATTTAATCCTCAGCTTTTGTTGTGATGAACTGTTTAAATTGCCTAACACTTTTTATAGAAGTGCAACCTATGTATTGCATCAGAACTCTAGAAGTAAGATAAGACCCACTAGAGCCTAATGATCATGCCATCTCTTTATTGTGCACTTTTTAAATTTTTTAAAGCTTAAATTAAGGACTAGCTAGACAGCTTGTAATAGTGATTTTGAGCTCTAGTAGCATAGTGCCTAAGGCACGTAACTGCTAACCAGAAGGCTGGTGGTTCAA